GATTTATACTAGTAACCTAGCTTAGAGGGGAAAGAGGGACACTACATTTATAGTACAACCTTCCTTTGCCTTGTGACAAGGTATTTAGCAGAATTGACAGATCTGTTAGAATCTGACATGGCCACACCATGAGCACTTCTGCTATGGTCTAGAACTCTTAGCCTCTGGGCTTCCAACCATTTGCCCCAGTGCCTACCCCACCAGAGCTGCCTACTTACAGTGTATGAAAATGATCAATGACCAGTTCAAATATTTATAAAGCAGATGAACATCAGAAAGTATGAGCCAAACCTTCAGCTGTTTTAAAACTTCATAGCACCATTGATTCAAAGCCACTGATTTACACCAGCAAAGGTGGTGGCCCTATTTTCTTAATCTGCAAATACACCAGTAGTGTGACAGGAGCAGCAGCAATGCATACTGCCTTTGTGAGGAAGGGGGAACAAAAATAGCCATCACCACAATCAAGACAAAAGCAACTTTACACTACTCCATGTATCGCCACAGCCCTGGGTACAGAGTTGCTCTGCCATGCCTTTGAAATTCACAATACCCTAAAACATGATTATGCAAAAACAAAAAAAAGTCCTAGAATACAAAATGAAAAGGATGCAAATGAAGGCATTCCTGACTTAAATAAGGATTATATTAGGAGAAAAGCAAAGCAATGGATCAAGTAGGATAAGCTGATAGTGCCCCATAATTAAAGAATGTTACAGCCCAGTAAAGGATAATGCATGCAGGGTGTGATAAATGACATCTCAGTATCAATCATCTGAGTTCAGTTAGAAGAGGTTTTCTTCACCCCTATAATCAGAAAGCTCCAGCTTTCATTCCAGTGACTTCTAAACCTATTTTTAATTAATTATAAAATAAATACATTCTCCCACATCATAAGAAATAATGATACCATATACTGTGAAGGCTTTGTCCATCCTATATTACTTTGCAGACCCAAATTCTCTCTCTGTCCTCTATTCATTCTCTCATTTTCCTTAGACACTGGTGGGATTTAAGAAGCCCATCTGCAGCACTTACAAGATGAAGTAAAAAATGGAGTATGTGTCTTCCTCAAAGACTGGTGCAAACAGTAGGGATGGAATACTTATGGCAGAAAAAAATTCAAGGTATCTGGGCACCTATGCATAAGAAGCCTACTAATATTTAGACTGCTTTAGAAACTAAGAACACTTCAAGCATACATATTCCCAGCAAATGACTTGGGGTTTACATTTTTCAGTCTACTGTTTTCATCCACTTTCACACAGGATTATTCAGTGGGGTGCAATTGAAATTGATGGGAGTTTTGCAATTGACTTCAGTGGAACAAGGATTTCACATCCAAGTACTGTGTTGATAGATGTGGTATAAAAACACAGGATAGAGAAAAAAAACCATAATTATTTAAGAGGTTTTAGCTATTTAATGTCTTTATTAAATGACTAAAATTGAAAATTGGCAGGGCACAAGTGACAAAAATGGTTTACAGGTCAGCATCCTGTTCACTGTCCTTGGAGGAGTCATCGACTTGTAATAAATGCAAAGTTAGTTGTTTTTATGCATGTGTTATGTCAGCTGTGTAAATAAGTACATTCCCACAGAAACTTCTGTATAAAATCATCTGAAATTCAGCTGACTCATGGTTAACATGTATTTTGCTTCAGTGCTTTGCAGAGGGGAATATCAAATCTTGCTTTTCTAAGCATATGCTATCGAATTTTGAAAAACAGCTTATATTTCAGGGGGTTCTGGTAAACATCAACTGTAGGAAAAAGTGAAACTGTTTTCATGAAGTTGAATTACGTTTCTAGATGAGCCACTGCAGTTAGAAATATCTGCAACATAGGCAGGATGTGTAGTAGTTGTCTTTATGATAATATGACATAATATGTCAATATTATTCTACCTAAAATGTAACCTGCAGTAAGAATGAATATGGGATAAAAATATCATTTGTGGGTGATACACAAATGCTAATATAATGAAAAAGCCTTGATCTAGCCAAATTCACCCACAGCCTTCTTCATATAAAATCTCAGGATTCTTTCTCTGCAGTAGACTGAGCTACTCAGATGTAAAACTCACTTGCTATGGAAATTTTTCTTCCCCTTAAGGGCTTAAGAGCTTTGCAGCCTATAGGGGAAATTCATATGTTCATCCCTGTGCTCAAAGAATTATTACAATTCTGCAGTACCTTTTCTGCCATAGGAGAGAAATGAGTATGGTCATAGAAACTCAGCCTCAGGTTCTTTAAGCTGTTTGTTTTGATTTAGACCTTGCAGACACATTAGAGCAGTGCTTAGCTGCATGACAGACTGTTGAAAGGGGTCTTCCACTTCAGATTGCCAGAAAGACCCTAGCCCCACCTCTTCCTAACAGCAGCCTGAAGTTGTGCACAGCTGCTTGCAGCTATTTAATTAGTGAAAGACCCATTCTTGGGGGTTAGCCAGGAAGAGCTGTTTATGCTTCTGATTCTCACAGAATTATATTTGACAGCTACCTTCCAATCAATACGAAGAAGACTAAAGAGTGGCTTTTGTTAGACGATTTGTCAGTCAAGAAACAGTACTACAGCAAAAATCAATTTAAGTTTTTAACCTTAAGTTTTTCCCTAGTTGTCAAACCAATTTTCATGTCAGGAACTCTGGACAGCTCCTTTAAGCATATGCATCATAGTCCCCATGTGGCATGCCAACGTGTGTAAATGTCATAGATGGCCGTCATGGGAATGGGTAGCCCAGGAGCGGGCAATTATTTCAGGCGGAGGGCTGCTTACTGAGTTTTGGCAAGCCATCAAGGGCCGCATGACAGGCAGCTGAGGCAGATAAATATTAATTTTCTAAATTTTTTAGGGGGCCCACAGGCCAGACAGAATGGCCTGGCGGGCCGCATCTGGCCCACGGGCTGCATTTTGCCCACCCCTGGGGTAGCCCCACCAAGATTAAAAACTAGGATCTGAGCAGAATTCTTCACAAGTGCTACCTATCACACTGCTGCACTCTCTCTGACTGGGTTACAAGGGGCATTGACTGGCATGTTTTACCATTTACCAAACACTCAATGTGTTTTACCATTTTCACCTAAGTCCATAAGAAGCTGTTGTACAATGCTAAAGATTCTACTTAGTATCTAATTACCAAACAGGATATGTATAAACATTGTTAAAATATGTTTTAAATATAACTAAAAGAAATAGTTAACAAACAGTTGAGTCGGACTAGATGATCTGCTCAGGTCCCTTCCGACCCTAGAAACTACGAAACTATGAAACTATACAGCCACCCTGACAATGCAGGAAACACATTTCACAATTGGCAGGACAGGGAAATCTAAGTTTTCTAATGTTATTGAAGAATCAGATCAGTTTTAAAATTCTGGTTTATTTCTTCCCTCCCAGTTTCCTGTCTCTATCAACATCTCTCCCCGGGTTATATGTGTTTAACCTAGGCTGGTTCTGCAAGTTTTGTTAATAAGCTTAACTGTAGGCACTTGAGTAGTCTGAAAGAAAGAGAGAGACTACTTATAGTACACAAAGTTAAATATGTGCACAAATTTTTGTAGATTGGGGCCCTAGTTAGTAAGCTTCTTACTGCAAAGATAGCATTTTCTCTTTGGGGACCAATCCTGCGAGGGAATATGCATTTTCAGCTCCCAGGGACTTCAGAACGAATTGAATTTCCTCAGAATCTTCCAAAGTAGGTTCTTTGTCTATGAAACGCTATATACATGAATGGTGCCATGGAAATAATACTGAAATAGTAATTTTGCAGTAGTTAAATGAACTTACTGTTATTTATA